AAGTGTAAAAATTACAATACCTAACTGCCAATCTAGTACTGCGCTTAAATTTGTAAACTCGTGATATAGAGTGGAAAGTTCATTAGAACAAGTAATATGAAAATATTTATAGAAAGGGCTTAGAGAAGATACGTCACAGCGGTGGAAAAGTGACTGAAGCAGAGATGGCAAGTCAGAACCAGTAACATTGCAGACACTTCTTTCTATTTTATCAAAAATATCTATATACAGCACCAATTCAGATGTAACAGCAATATATTCAATACAGGGAAGAATGGTAGACTTATAAATGTAGGACATAATAGATTTTTCTAACGAAAAAAAATTGTCCCAGACGACACAGTGCACCAACATTCCTAGCAACAGCTCTAATTATTGACTCAATATAATCTTTCCACTTTATGCCAATCAAAAACGTGAAACCGAGGTGCAATGAGTTACTCTCCTGGTACGTTAGCATCAGCCATACTGATAGCAGGTAAAAATATTCTCTAAGACAGTGTTTCTCAAAGTGGTGGTCCACGGACCAGTGCCTGTACGCGAACCATCAGCTACCGATACCCGACCAGTGTCCAGGCCATGTTAAAGAATCATTTGTAAAGATTATGGTTATATAATTTTTTGTTTTTGTGTTAATAAACTGCTTATTATTTTTATTACTTTTTATATGTGCTGATACTGATAAAAACTAGTCAACTTTTATTATATTCATCATATATACATATATATATATATATGTGTGTGTGTATATATATGTATGTATGTATATATATATGTATGTATATATATCGTTTCCGGTATAAATTAATATTACCATTACAGATACATTGAGAAAAAAATTCCGTTCCGCCATATATAGTTTGAGAAAAACTGCTCTAAGTTGATTTGGTGTGATTTGTTTCGTTTTAAAAGCATGAAAATTAACAAGCAATTTCTTTTTCCAGTTAAGAAAAGATTATTGGTCATTTTCGAGATCAATTACTAATTTGACTTTATCGAACCAATCATAGACTTTATCGAACCGTTCAGACTTACTATTAAAATGAGGGTAAATAGTTATGCCACCAGCATAGAACCCGAGTCGGTAACTGATAATATCGGGAGAGTCATTGATGAAAATAAGGAACAAAGTATGTCTAACGATAGAGCCTTGGCCGATTGGGGGGGGTCACTCGCATTAACGCAAAAAGATCTAGAAGAGGGACCGTTCAAGACAAGGCTCATTATGCAATTTGATTGAATCAAATAATCAACCAGAAACATCATAACACTTCAACTTGTGAAGACTAGCATGCCATTGTCAAACGCCATTGAGGCATGTAAAGTAACAAGCCGAGCTTTGCCATTTTTAGCTAAAACTTAACAGACTCTTTCAGCAATAACCGTCAGTACATGGACGGTTGACATATTGACATATTGCTTGTCTGAAAGAAGACCGTTTGAAGTGAGATGCTTAACAAATTCCCAGTTGATTAAGAGTCTATAGTAGCGACAGATTTGCGATGGTTTTGTTTCTATGGGAAAGAATCTCTTCACAAGATCTTGTAAACGACTTTGAACTCTATCACATCTGGAAAGTGAGTGATGGGCATCTCCAGCCCAGATATGGAAGCAATAACTCATTTTTGGTTCAATCTGACTCTTATTATGACAGGAGTCAGGTACGATAGAATGGACTGACCATTTTTCCAGCATCTTTAGAAATGAATCGTTTACATGAGCTTCACAATGTGACACCAGTTAAAGTTTACTGTTGAGTCGCACATGTATAGTTACGGTTAGTTCAAGAGGGAGACGCACCTCAAGAGACATTCCAAAGAAACAGCCGATAAAGAACCTTGTTGAAATAAGCGCCGTTTTCCCCAGGAGTCGATCTTCGAACTTAGGACTTTCGAATATTGATTTTCCCAATTTGGAAAAGTAAAACAAAATCTTTTACTTATATTTCAACCCATTTAACTTTGTGTTTTCTATCATTTTATACTTATATCAAATGTCAACGGCCAACACTTTGCAAAATCCTATTGGTAATACGTCATGCTTCTTTATCCGACTTCTTATTGCTTCTCTGATAAGATGATCAAATTTCAAATCTAAATTTTTTGTCCAATTAAAATACAGACAAGCCTCTCATCAACGGACAAACAGGGGGAGGGTGTGGTCCGTTAAAGCTGATTGTCCGTAAATGGAAAGGGATCATTTTTGAGTTATAAAACCCCTATAGTAACTACCAGTGGTTATGATCATAATGTAAATACTATAAACATGTATATATGACATAAATAAATATATACTTAATATAGATATATTAATCAAAATAACAAAAATAATAGATTTCTCACATCTAATTTCTCACGTAAGCGCTAAGGTATTGTACTTCATATACTGTACACCCGTCTTTGTTTACAATTGAAAGGCTCGCCACCACCGCCAACCGGTCACTTTGAGAGTTAATACGACTCGTTGCTGAGCCCTCAAATTTTGAAATACAGGGCTGACGATTTGGAAGTTTTTTTTTTCCTGTAGATTGTTTTTTTTTTATTTTGCCTGCAGATTTTGTCCGTTACATCCGAAGTCCGTTGATAAAGAGTCCGTAGATGTGAGGTTTGTCTGTACGACATTTATTTGAAAATATATTCAGTTTAAATACAAAATGGGTCATAAAAGTGATTTCAAAGCGTAGCAGGTCTAAATACAAAATATTAAACATTTTTTTAAAAAAAAACAAGTCTGTTTATTACGTGTTGTAGCATACCTGCGGACGATAATGGATATGTCCCCATTCACATAAATACTGTAGTAGTAGATACTGTATGTTAGTCTGCGATTAGAGATTTGTCTCCAGCTGTGCTGGTCAAACTGTCTATCTCCAGGCATAGAGTATCCCCAGACGATGCTATGTCGAAGGGTAGAGTTTCATCTCAGGAAACAGCTACCCGACCCAGTTTTATACGGGGTCTACACATTAAATTCGGTCTTGTGTCACATCTGACCGTGTGGGGCGGTTGGTAGATATCCTGCAGTTGGAAATTCATTGTGGAATTCACTTGACTCACTTCTAGCAGTTGACTACTTCTTCTACGCTCTTCTGGCGAATCTTATATGTGTTGTTCTTGTCCTAAGTATTATTCTTCATTACTTCGTTTGATTATTCTATTCGGTAACCTTCCTCAGATTACAACAATTACCGAATAATTTCTGGCTATTTCAATAAAATCTTATAATTATCTAACATTTCAAGTTAAAAAAAAAACATTTTTTCTGGTCTCCAAATTTTTATTTTATTGCTCAAGCCAGGATCGGGGTTGTCTAGGCTGTGTAGGAATGGAATCTATTATTCCAATGTCTTATTTCAAACTCAGTCAAATTTGTGTGTGTGTGTGTGTGTGTGTGTGTGTGTGTGTGTGTGTGTGTGTGCGTGTGCGTGCTTACATATACACTATATGGCACAAACAGATGTAAGTAAGTCACTCACGCACAACACATGACATTTGCATATACATTCCCCAGTCGCATGCAAAGTCACAAGCAGACAAAGTGTGTGACGGACAAAGAACCAGATCTTCTTTTATAACATAGATTATTAAGGCCATTTTATGGAAACCCAGGCTAAACAAAAATATAACTTAGGTGGAGATAAATTCGGTAATATTTTCATAGCTCACTCTCCTTGTTCCTGCGTTCCATAGTTAACTCGCACATAAGGTATGTCCTACCATTCAGTGAGATAAACAATGTGCCATTCCTGTTTGAGTGCAAGGATAGACCAGTAATTGTTTGCCTGTCCTCTGCCCACAAAACGGAAGAAAAATACCTCAGATAAACAATGGGTCAATCCTGCTTGATTGTGAGGATAGACCTTTTACAAAAACGGAAGAAAGTAAATATCAAATGTTCTGTTTGTTTTTAAGGGAGGAAAGGAAAGGAAAGGAAAGAAAGAAAAGAAAGAAAGAAAGAAAGAAAGAAAGAAAGAAAGAAAGAAAGAAAGAAAGAAAAGGAACAGAAGGAAGGAAGGGAAAGGAAAGAAAACTAAGGAAAGGGAAAAAAAGGAAAAAAGTAAAGGAAAGGAGGATAGAGGCGGTGATAACGTTCATCTCATGTGCTTAACGTTTACTTCAGTGAAATGGAAAATCTTGTCAATTTGGATTTTTTTTTTATTTCTACCCTCTTACTTTTTAAATAATAACCTGCCTTCATAGTCATGATTGTTATTGTAATAAAGTTGTTAAAATGTGCGGGTGGTGCAATGAATAATGGTTCAAATGAGAATTCGGAAAGCCGAGTTCAAACTCCAGTCGGATTCGTTAAATTCAGTTACCATTGGGAAAGGTATGAATCCATCTCTTCTGCTCCAGTTATGGATTAAATTGTAGGACTTGTACCTGGAAAAATTATTGTTATTCCCCAAAAAATTGTTAATGCACTATCCTAAGGGAGGCACGGTGGGGTAATGGATAGCAGCTCAGATTGAGGAATCGGAGAGCAGAGTTCGAATTCCAGTCAAATACATCATATTCACTTACGTGGAAAAGATATAAATTAAAGCTATAGCCTTGGATGGCAACTGATTTACCGCAGAAAGAAATGGCAACCTACTGCGGGAAAAAAAAATCTGCCTCGTTAGTCATGTATCGAAAGATACATGATTGCCTAAGCGTATATCACGCGTGGCACATAACTGACTGAATGCCATATCCAATCGAAGAAAAAATTTTTACAATTCAAAATATGCTTTGGCTTTAAATAACCTATAAAGGGTTTCTAAGCCGTAAAACAGATAGAAAGCAATCAGCATGTTAACGTTATTAAGCTCAGATATTCAATGAGGCAACAGGGAAATTTTATAGTCGCCGAATTCGCAAGAAGCTTATTATTTAATCATTAAATTAAAATTCATCAAAAAATTAAAATCGGAAAATTTTCACGGGTATCATTTAGTTATCATTATTATTATTATTATTAGTAGTAGCAGTAGTAGTAGTATTTTGAAGGCAACATCACGTTGAATCACCGGTTCTCGTATGATCACCGAAGTTAAGCAACGTCGAACCTGGTAAGTATCTAGATGGGTGAGTGCTTGGGAATAACAGGTGCAGTAAGCTTGGATGTGCGGGTGGTGTAATGGCTAACAGGTCGAAATTGGAAAGTTCCAATTCCAGTTGGGTTTGCTATATTCACTTACACGCAAATACCCTTGGGAAAGCTATGAATTCACGTCTTCTCCTCCAGCTATGCGTTCATTAGTAAAACTTGTATCAATAAATCATTATTGTCTCCCCACAAAATTTCTTACAATCTAAAAATATTTTCTGGCTTTAAATAACCCGCAAAGAGTTGATAAACCATAGAAAACGAATCTATAAAAATACATTTTTTTTTGCTCGTTAAGGGTTTACAATGTATTAGATGTTTACACCCGTATTAGATGAGATGTTTACCCCTGTATTAGATATTTACACCCGTATTAGGTGTTTACACCCGTATTAGATGGTGGCTGGTATTGGAGATTAAGTAGAAATAAATTTCCTCACTATTCCGGTATTCTTCACATTGCGAACGGGGAAACGATGGAATCATCCGAACCATTCTTTTCAACAATACCGTTGTCAGGATTGTTTCAACACTTCCTTTAATTTCCAGGTCTTCCAGTCTTTGTCGCAGGCTCTTCGGAACATTCCCAGTACTAACATAACGACTCGCACTACTGTCATCTTAATGTTTCATAATTTCCTTATTTCTTTCTCTCACTTTGGCAAGATTGATAATTATCTTTTTTTCTTTTTCATTTTTTTATAGGTACAATACGAAAGGAATGGTGGAAAGTGTGGCGTTTGTGGTGATCCGTACGATGGACCCCGCGAGAATGAGGTTGGCGGCAAATATGCGAACGGCATTATCGTGCGCAACTACACGATGGGTCAGCTAATGAAGGCTCGCGTTGATCTGACAGCAAATCACAAGGGCTGGTTCATGTTCGACCTTTGCCCCAAGAAGAGATACGAAGACAAAGAAACAGAGGAGTGTTTTGAGAAACACCCACTCAAAATAGCCACCACGGGCGCTGTCCATTTCCCAGTGAAAGGTGAATGGGGATCAAAATCAATTGTGGTCCCACTGAACTTGCCAAAAAATGTCGCCTGCAATTTTTGTGTATTTCGATGGAAATACAATGCTGGTAAGTTATTTTATTTTTGCAAATGAAGGATTGAGGTATTTCTATTAGCATCCGGGATAATATCCAAAAGTTCAATGAATATTAGCGTGAAAGAAATCTACTTGCCTTATCCACAGTCTCCTTCAAAGTAATTTGCTAGTGTACAGTGATCCTAGTAGTTTTTCCAATCTTCCGGACATTGTTGGAAATCAAAGACCACATAGTTTTGCCACTGTGCTTCATTCAAATTTATCTGTTGAGCAGCACCCAGTAATTTAATTAATCATGAAATATATGTCGTTGGGTTCCCCATACATTCAGTTTTGTATCACATCTGAGGTATGCTTAGAAAATCACCATAAAATATATATCGTTCAGCCCCTTTCTCTGGGGTATCCACTCCACCCACTTGCTAATTTTCGGATTTTTCTTATCTCGGATACATTAGTCCCTTTCCCGCTCATAAAATTTTAACTTTTTTTTAATAGACATTTGATGGATATTGTAGTGCTGGCAAGACTTCATGAAAACACTTTCAACTATGTTAAAGCATTTTACTTAAAGACATTAATGAGAATTTATATTTTGTTATAGTTTGAAAGACTTGTTTTTAATTATTTCCCTGCCATTCCATTTATTGAACTCATCCCCACCGTTTATTAGATTTTCGTATTTTTCCAAATCCCCGTTTCTTAACCCCACCCGTTTATTTAATTCTCTGACTTTTAACACTCTCCTATTTATTCAATCAGTTATGTGCCATGCGTGACACACACTTAGGCGATCATGTATTTTCGATACATGACTGACGAGGCAGAATTTTTCCCGCAGTAGGTTGCCATTTCTTTCTGCGGTAGACCAGTTTCCATCTCAAAGCTATAGAACCCAGTTTGTTCTGCTATTTACCCATAGCTCGGAGGGGGGGGAGAAGAGGATTCATACCTTTCCCAGGGCTATTAAGAGACTGTAATGGATTCGAACTCAGCTCTCCGATTCCTCAGTCTGAAACGCTATCCATTACTCCATGCCTATTTGGCACCTGAGCGTATAGTGATTCGATGGTTAGTACACTTGTCTTGCTGATTAATTCTTAAGTAAAGTGAAGTCGGTCTTCACCGTGTGTGTCAATACTTTAGCCTCGTACCAAACTAAACTGTTTTTAATAAATAACATGAAGCATATTCTAGTGAGTGATTTATGTTCGAGTCTCCCAAGGATTTTGTTCCTGTCTCTTTACTTGACGAAATCCCACACCTGCATTTGGAAATCAATTTTTGGGGAATTGCTTTCAACTTCTATTGTTCCGAAATCATCCAATAGAAATAGTTCTTTGGTAATTAAATATACTCTGAAAAATCGCTAATGAGGTAGAAAATATCTTGATCTTATAAACTCTTCAAGGTCCACTATAGGCATTAGTGTATCAGTGATATATTAACACCTTAACAGGCGAAAGGGATTACTAAAATAATCGAAAGAAATTAATTCCCAAAATGAGTTAAACTTGAAAACATTTTATATACAAAACATAGATACATATACATGTTTTATTAACCTGCAATATATATATATATATATATATATATATATATATATATATATATATATATATATATATATATATATATATATGTCACAAATTGTCCCACATAGAGAATTTTAAGTACACTAAAGGAAGGCAAGCAGTATGTGAAGGGGATGAGTAAAAAGCTTCTCCTTGTAATGTCCCCAAAAGACACACAGTAAAGACCCGTGTTTTCGCTTCCGTTCTCCTTCAGTATACATTGGCCTTGCGTGGTCCTCCCAGGGAAGCCGAGCAGTAACTACAGCCCGTTGGTAAGAACAGTTGCTGCTTGACACCTAGACGCCCCTTAAGACGTCAGTAAAGTCTTTCTGATAAAAAGGGAGATAATTGTCTTCTGCGCCCCTACACCGAGTTTATTTTCTGTATACTGGTCTGAGACATACATTAAACATCGTTAGGTAGCCAAGAGAGAAATCTTCTTAACAACGCTTGTAAAGCTATAGATGAACAACATCAAAGTCATTAGGTTCTTCACCACCTTTTTTTCCTGACATGTGTTAGTCAAGAATAGAATAAAGGTTGCAATCCTCAAAGACTTTAGTCTCTAAGGATTGCACGGATGGATAAATGGTAATTAGGTATTAGCTTTTTTAAATTTTTTAATCATATCACACCTATGCAAAGCAGTGAAGCCAATATGACACGAGGGGTTAATGAGTGTGGAAGAACAAAAAAAAAGAGAAGCATTAGAGAGTGAGAGAGAGAGAGAGAGAGAGAGAGAGAGAGAGAAGAAGAAGAAGAAGAAGAAGAAGAATCAAGAAGACAGTAGATAACGATTGACATTGCATTTAAAATTTGGAAGATCAAAGTTGACTGGAAAGCATGAAGCCGGAAGAGAGTTCATCAAACGAAAAGTGTGAGAAAAGAAACTGTTATCATAGAACTTCCGGTTACATCTAGTCACTTCAATAGTGAATAGATGAGACCTTTCCGCCAATCTGCGTTTATGTCTAGGTACCATAGCGAAGAACTTATTCAAACAATTAGCTTGAAAGTATTTATTTAAAAAAAAAAAATGCACAGGGAAGCTACATTATGGCGGTGGGAAAGTGACTGAAGCCGAGATGCCAGGTCAGGACCAACAATATTGCTGATTATTTGGATTTTCTCAAAAATTTCTTAATATGCAGATGACCAAATATGGAAGCAATATTTAAAGCAGAGGCGAATGGTAGACATATAAATGTGCAAGATAGATTCTGGAAAGAAAAATTCTTTTGCACGGCACAATGATCTGACATTTTTGAGCAGCAAATGGATTCAATATAATCTTTCCACTTCATATCAACTGAGAATGTTAGACCCAGAAGACACAGCTAGTCACTCTCATGAAGGTTAGCATCAGCCATTCTGATGGGAAGCAAGTAGGAGCCTTTCAGGTGATTAATATGGAGAAGTTTCGTTTTGTAGGCGTTTAAATTAACAAGCCACTACTTGCCCCAGTTAACAACAAACTGTAGGTCATTTTTAGATCTCATGCTAATTTCACATTTTCAAACTGATCAGACATATTATCAAGACAGGAGTAAATAGTTGTGTCGTCAAACAACTGTGTGCTGAAGTGAAAATTAAGACAAAGTGTGTATTTGAGAAAGGCGGACATTACATAATTATCTTTCTTTTGTGTTAAACATGTTAATACTTAAAGATTTGTAAGGTTGCAACATTATATTCAAGCGTAACTGACCTTTTTCATTTCAAACTCAATCAGAGTGTAATTAACATCAATGATTTTGACGCCTGTATATCGAAAAGTTACGGCTTTAATGCTTATTAAATCTTATGAGATTACGCGCTAATAATATTACAAATCTGAAAGCAATAATCCTAATAAATCCGGGTAGTAATAGATATAATTTTTCCAGAACATTATGAATTGTCATCATTTTATTATTATCTTTATTTACACTATTTCCATCATTTGGACTGTTGTCCTCATCTTTATTGCCATAGTCACGACGTGTCTGTTCTATACCTGGTCAAGGAAGAGGTAAGAAAAATTTGAAGAGTTGAGTTGCTAAAGGAAATTAACTGAAACTGAGATATAAAAATAAGGCATGGCACGTAGAATTAGAACAATCTACTCCCGTGGACTGACAACAGTCCGATGTTGTAAATAGTATAAATAGTTACAATACCTCCTATCAGAAATATAGACAGATACTTTTCTTTTTTTTATTACATCGTAAGCGTTACCAAATTTGTTGTTAATATATTAATGAATCAACGGTTTTATTTTTAACTTAAAAACTTGATGCTATTTTTTTTTATTAAGCAATGTGTATAACGTCTATCGGTCTATGCATTCGAAATATCTTAGTAAATAAAATGCGTTTCCCAGCAGGGATCGAACTTCCATCCTCCTTTTTAGGGGAAAAAACCGTTTGACCCATTGTTTTCTACCGCTCGGTCACGGAAAATGTCACAGCAAGCAACGTTCTATTTTCCCTTTTTAAGCAAAGCACATCCTCTTCCATCAGATTATTTTCTGAAAAGCGTCATATCTGCTCAGTTTTGTATCCGAAACGTAAACAAAGCAATTACTAAAGAATTAATGGATTTATTTTAATACGACATTTTTATTAATTCGATCCCTGCCAGGGAACGCATTTTTTACTAAGATTTCTCGAATGCACAGGCCGATAGATGCAATACAAGCTTTATGTAAAATGGGGCATCTATTTCAAATACAAAGTATTCACTATAATAAAAATTTATATATATATATATATATATATATATATATATATATATATATATATATATATATATCATAAAAATATATCTTTCCCTTACCTGATTTTCTCCGCAATAGAACCTGCTATCATGCATAAATGTAAAACGAAAGGCACCATACAATGCTGACCCTCATTTATCGTCACGATAGGAGAGTCCACTAAATATATATATATATATGTGTGTGTGTGTGTGTGTGTGTGTGTGTGTGTGTGTGTGTGTGTGTGTGATAAAAATATAGTCTTAAGATATAGTATATTTATGGATTAAAGTGCTCAATATCACGGATAGAGCTTATGTAAATATAAAAGGGGACATTGAGGTCAAAACCCGGAGTGCGACAGTCTGTTTTATGCTAAACGCAAACATCAGGCAATGTGCCTGGCAACTGCGTTAAGCATTAAACAGACAGTCGCCCCTGGGTGTTGACTTCAATACCCACTGATATATATATATATATATATATATATATATATATAATTATATTGATTTAAAATATGTTTTTTTACGCTATACAGTTCTAACAATGTTTCAAAAATGGAAGCTAAAAGCTACGAATTTAATTTTGTAATTAAATTAAAGACATTAGTTCAATTTCATCCTCAAGCGAATTTTGGAGTAACTTTTAAAATTACTGGGTTTTAAAGACACGGCTAAAATCATAATTCACGTTTCCAAGGTTACAGATAAATCCACTTCCACTAGACAAGGGGTGTCTGCGTGTTCATTACGTCTGTATTTTGATGTATCAGTTCTTAGTTACGTTTTGGTAGTGGGTAGGGATGTATTTTTCAATGAAATCTAACATCCGTTAAATGCATGTCGTCTGGATTTTTTTAATTTTTTTAAAAAATTTACAATATTAATGCTCTGTAAATTTACATTGAGCACTATTCTGCAAAAATAAAAATATCTATAAGAACACTGGATTATATATCTTACTGTTCTTTCTTTTTATTTATATATACATATATATACATGCATATATATATATATATATATATATATATATATATATATATATATATATATATATATATATATATATATATATATTGTGTGTGTGTAAAGAAATTCTACTACTTCAAACAAAACTTACCAAATTTGTTGCTGAAATCGTCTTTTGATTATTATTTTTTTTCTTTTTCCATAAGGAAACAGTTGGGGCGTGGATCCGGTCACAAAAAAAGGCTGTGTCGGTTGTGGGAATCAGGAACAGTTTTACGGATGTGCAGATATCAAAATATTTGGAGATTCGACCGCCGCCCCGTCTGCCAGCTTGGATGGAAGCTGGGTGTTGTTGGTCTTGGCAATGTTTACTATCTTTTACCAGGCTGAAACCCGATAGCTTTTGCAAAGTAACATCTAAAGACTAATATTTTTTTTTATTTGAAAAAAAAAATGCATTACTAAATATTAAGCATGAAAATTAAAAAAAAAAAGGGTATAAATTTGATTTGATGAAATCCAATTCACGCAATCCAGTATCAATTTTAACTGTTGAACATTTTAAAATAGGCCTGCCTGCGCGCATGCGCGCATACAGACACACACACACACACATTTATGATAATATAAGCTGTCTTTCTTTCTATACGTATCTAGCTCTTTCACTCACTCATTCTCTCTCTCTCTCTCTCTCTATCTTTCTTTTATTTTAATATATAAATATATATATATATATATATATATATATATATATATATATATATATATATATATAGATGGATAGATAGAGAGACATGATGCCAATTCGGATGAAAGTGATATAATGCGCAAAGATATGTGCAACTCTTTGTCGTCATTTCGCCACTTACATACATACATTTATGGATATGCGCACACATAGACGAACACATACACAAACATTATGTTTATGTGTGTGGAGGATGCCTCGCACCGACTGGAATTTTTATTCGCGATTTACAACGGTTTTTCTTGTGTTCTTAATATTTATTTCATATATATATATATATATATATATATATATATATATATATATATATGTATATATATATAATGAAGTGTGAGCTATCTATATACTTATGCATATATATATATATGATTCACACACATACATATATGTATATACATTTATACAATGGAATTGGTATATTTAAAGACGGCTTTAATTCACTTTTAGGCTATTTTGTTGTAACGAGCCTGGAATGTCCAGCACTTTGTTTGGGCCATCTTAATTCTTGAAGGCTTATGGCCATATCACGTTGAAGCGCCCGTTCTCGTACGATCACTGAAGTTAAGCAATGTCGAGCTTGGTCAATATCTAGATGGATGACCGCTTGGGAATACCAGCGGAAATGGAAGTCGGAAAGCCAAATTCCAATTCCAATCGGGATTGTTATATTCACTTACGCGCAAATACCCTTGGGAAAGATATGAATACGCCTCTTCTCCCTCCAGCTATGGGTTAATTTGTATCAGTAAATTATTATTATCTGCAAAAAGTTTTACAATCTAAAAAATATTTTCTTGTTTTAAATAACTTGTAATGGGTTGATAAGCCGTAAAAACTAATCAATCAGTCGACTTCTTGACTTACACTCTTCCGATGAACCAAGAACACGAATCGTTCCTTGAAATTAGAAATCGATATTCTTAGTAGCAGAGAGAATGGTATCCTGATTTTGGTATCTGTTTAGAAAATCGTAGAACTTTTTTCTCGCTTTGATAGATTTGATGACTTAAAATATTAGTCTTTTCAGTAGCGGAGACAATTTGTAAACAATTGTAAACAATTCTTTAGACAAATAAGTTCAAATAGTTTCACAAATAAAGCATATCATTTTGAAAAAAAAAAGTCCCTTATTGTTACTTGTGAATATATAACATTATTCTAAATAAGATAGAAAATCAGATGACTGCAACGTTAATCAATATAAAAGCAAGTGTGTCAATTGATTCTTCTAAGTAAAAATGTCTTGACAATGTTATCTTATGTTCACATTGAGGATTTAACAAACACTTATAAGCAATCTGTTTAAACAATTCACTGAAGCCGCTTTTATTGGTTATTTCAACATATATTTCCTCTCTGCTATTTATGCCAATGTTAAAAGCCATATTGAAATAACCAGCAGTTGAATTAGAAATTCTTGAGCTGGGGTTAAGTGAATTGATTAATTTGTTTTTTACGGCTTATCAACCTTCTGTAGATTATTTAAAGCCGAAACGTGTTTTTGGATTGTAAGAATAACTATCTTTTTTTTCTTTTTGCGAGTGAATATTGTATCCACAATTATTTTGCGGTAGTGGGGGAGATAATAATGAGTCTTACTAATTAACCAATAGCTGGGGGAAGAAGAGGTGGATTCATACTTTTCCCAAGGGTATCTGGGCGTAAGTGAATGTAACGAACCCGACTGGAATTCGAACTCTGCTCTCCGATTAACAATTACGAGCCATTATCCATCACACCACCTGCACATCCAAGCTTACAGCACCTGGTATTCAGAAGCTGCCACCCATTTAGTCACTGATCAAGCTCGACGTTGCTTAACTTCGGCGATCGGATGAGAATATGATATGTTCGTAAACCCGGGGTTGACTGATGGTTTGCAACAATCTTTAAGCTTAATCCAAATTCCTATCGTAGGAATCAAATTTTGTTATAAAAGAAAATAAATTGTAAATGAAAAGAGAATTATTTGTTGCAGTGTGTGAAAATGGGCGTGTGTACAGAATGGGCGTGCATACAGAATGGGCGTGTGTACAGAATGGGCGTGTGTACAGAATGGGCGTGTATACAGAATGGGCGTGTATACAGAATGGGCGTGTATACAGAATGGGCGTGTGTACAGAATGGGCGTGTATACAGAATGGGCATGTATACAGCTAGTTATTGACTCCTTCTATCCGATTGTCTTTTTACTCATTCCAAACTGACTGCAAGCCGTAAGAAAAAACAAGCCAGTATTTGTAAAGTCTTCGATTCTACTGTTTCGAACGATAAATCAATCTAAGTACCGTGTCATTTCTGTAGTAAATAATTAGCCAAGTCAGAGCTGCTTTCGACATTAACGCAATTAAGCAATCTCTGAGATTAAGACGCATTGAATGCAAATGTTCTTTCCCTTGATTTAGAATACTAGATATAGAAACATGGCTTCCGTCAAAAATGTTTTGGATTTTCCGAATTACCTAGTTTATGTGGAATATTCAAAAACACGTCCATTTAAATCATCAAAAATTTAATCTGGAAAGGAACCGAGAGTAATTTTAAAGTTTTTCTGTTCAGGAAAATACGTCAGAAAAGAAAGAATTTTCGTCCCGACTAAACTGTGCTATTTCAAATGAACAAAGCTCTGTACTTTAAAACAGTACGTTTTTAGCAATCTTTCACACGTACATGAATTTATAATTTATCGAATACCATTATCTAAAAGAAAAAGGCCTGTGATACCATTTTTAATTCTAGCGCGAGGTGAAAAATTCGTTCTTAGTGGTCAATGACTCTGAAATTGGTTGACATATCATTTTGGAAGGAAATTTATATTATTAACTATAGACGAACATTTTCTCTCCAAACCAAAACTAGTCTGTGTCTCACCGTGAAGGAACTGCTCGTCTTTTTTGGAACAAGAAATTACTTCCATACTCGAAAGCTTTCAATAGACGCACTAAGACGAACAAGATCGTGACCAATGTCTGTCTGAGGTTGTACTCTTATCTACTGAATACAAGGGCCGATTAAATTACTTCTTTCAATACCCCAATCAGGGAAAGATGAGTATTTGGTATGGAAAACCTATTATTGTTATTATTCAAATAATTTTATCTATGGTACAATTATTTTGTTACACAAGTTTATATATCAAAATTTATATTTTCTTTTTAAAATACGCGCCTGAATGTTTATCTAAACCGGTTCGCTTATTTGGAAAATTCCTTCTGGCATGTCTCTTCCAGACGGCACTTGAAATTAGTACAAATGAAAATATGGTATAATCAAAGGGGGTGAAAATCGAGTTAAAACTTCAAAGGCTTCATGCCAAATAAGTATTTAAAAATGTATACTATTAAAAATGTGTTTATAGATAAGACTGAGCTAAACACGAGACTCTGGGGCTGATTTCTTTGGGGTTTTTCTTTTTTTTTTTGTATTTTTTTTTTTTTTTTATCCAGGCTCGTTACTACATGGCCATTCTAGTGACAGAACATAATAATTTAAAACCATACAATTGTTTCAAGATGACAGGCAATTATAAAATCCATCAAAATTACGATCGTGAATTTTAAAATATCCGTCATCTGTGGCACGGTGATTTTATAAGCGTGGCTCAGATGTGGCACAGGGCCAAAAGTCTGGAGCGCCCAGTAAAGATCAAACTCACTATTCATTCGTAATTGTTTTTGCGAAACAAGCTAGCTATTACACCACGTCGAGATGTCACATTTGTCTGTGGTATTTAATTAAATGGCCGTTTAACTCCAAGAATTTACCGATTTCAAACAAACAAAAAAGAGAGATAAATCAATCAAAAAAAAAGAAAAAAGAAAAAAGAAAAGTTTTTCTCGTATTTTTCACATAATAACATTATTTTTTCAAAGATATATGATGAATATTTTTATATTATTGTATTATTTCGTCTCTTATATGTGTAAACCTATTTAATTTTTACAGTCGTTCACAAAGCCGGATTAAGTTAGTGTGGGGATTGTAGCGTATATTATGAAGGGGCCATAAATTTAAAAAATACACATACATCATAAATTATTCTCTAGCACAGTGACAGAGCTTATGAAACAGATAAATATTTATACTTCTATCGACATAATAAACAAACCTAGAAATAATATGAAACAACGAAATATTTGAGTAGATTTCACCGTCATGAAATAATATCACCTGAAATGAGGGATGATCAAACATGCAACTCTCCCGACATATTAACATTAACATTGATATCGTAAGATGCTGATTTCCCCAAACAGTATGAAAGTATTTAATGGGAGACCTCGAAAATGTGGGGTCCATTGCATGTGTTATTTTTTCTACTTTGTTATTTCGTCACTGATCATTGCTATCATTCATGGAAATAACAACTTATGATAGTGATTTACTAAGCGAAACTTACATGTGACACAAGGCCAAAATTTAGAAGCCCCCAGTGAAGCAGCAACTTATTATAGACTATTTGCTAAATGAGTTGCGTATTTCTTACCGACCCCATTGATCAGTGCTGAAGGCTGACTTTTCAATGCAAGCAGGTCTTCTCTACTTCGGAGACTGTGCGCAACACAATCACCTATTTGACCTGATTATCTAACCAAAACATTAGCAATAACAATTTACTCACAGCAGCTTATCAATAACAATTTAGTTTTACTATGATGCAATTCAGTCAGTCAGTTAAGTGCCATACGTGATACACTCTTGGGCGATCATGTCTTTTTCGATTCATGACTGATTAGGTAGAAGACATTCCCGCAGTAGGCTGCTGTTTCTTTCTGCGGTAGTCTGGTTACCAACCAAGGATACAGAACCCAATCTGTCCTGCTATTCAACCTATAGCTGGGTGGACAAGAGATGGATTCATGCCTTTCCCTAGGGTATTTACGTGTAAATGAATGTAACGAACCCCACTGGAATTCGAACTCGGCTTTCCGATTTCTAATTCTGAAAAGCCGTTACACCACACCGCACATCCATGATGCAATTAGTTTGCTGCAAATTTTAATCGGGACATCGATTCATTTCTAACAAGACGTTTTAAAGTGAAGTCCTCTCAACACCAGATGTGCTTTCCTTAAATAGGTTATTCAATACTTGCTCTGTTCGGCTGGTCCCCGTAGCTAAAATTGTAGCGGCACGCTTTAGCTAAAAATAAAAAAGCGGTTTCCCTTATGAGGCAAGAAAATCGATTCCTGTTGAAGGCAGATTTCTTCTTTAGTAGGACATTTCGATCTAGGCCGGTTATTAATAATTTTATTGTTTAAGAAATGAAAAACGGGGATAGCAATCCAAACACGTGTAGCTGGTAAAAATAGCGTTTGTACATAGTAATAAGAAATACCGCAATTGCCCATGTATAATACGTCTTCATCCTTAATACGCACACCTAAAATTGTGCTGAAAGTGTTGGAAAATGCTTCTACTCATGTATAATACGCACCCCTTGATTGGTAATCAAACCCTATAAATTGTACTTTTCCAATTTCATTACGGTCAGGATTACAGGTTAACTCTGATAAATTTTTCAATAATATTATTCTAATTTAAAGATTTTCTGTAGCTGTACATAATACACAACCCTGATATTGCTTATTATTTTTTTAGAAAAAAATGCGTATT